GGTCGGCGTGATCCTCTCTGTACTGAGGTAATGTGGTCGGCGTGATCCCCTCTGTACTCAGGTAATTTGGTCGGCGTGATCCTCTCTGTACTCAGGTAATGTGGTCATGGTGATCCTCCCTGCACTCAGGTAATGTGGTCGGCGCGATCCTCTCTGTACTCAGGTGGTGCAGTGCCGAGGAATAGCGCATCTATTCGCAAAGGCTTGCAGGGATATGTATATGTTTACCAGCAGTTACTGGATTTTTGACCACGATCTGATACATCAGTAACAGTAATACAGTCAGGAATATGCATTACCTGCATATGTGTCCATGTGTGCGTGCCCCATCGCCAAATATAATGGGAACAGTGCATCGAATAACATAGTGAACTTTCAGTTATTTGTTGAAAACATTGGCATGTACGTACAGCTGTATTTGGGACCGACGTGTCTTATTTTTTGTGTCTTTTTTATACTGCTTATAAATCACACGGTCGCGCATAAATGCATAAATAGACATTTTCAGTAGATTAACGCTCTCTAACAAACAAACCTTTCTAGCTAGGATTAGATGGACTTTTGCAACCAAAAACCTTGTAAAGTTTTACTTATTCAATTAAAACTTGATAGGAGTTTCTTGAAAATGTTTTGATCTCACATGTAAATGCGTTTGATTCCTAGAAGAAGCCAAAGCCATAAAGTTCGATATTCGATCATCATTGACATTACCAGGGTCCTCAGTGCGAATCTCATGTATTTTATTTCCGTTCTGACGCAGAGTATTTCCTCCCGTGGATGTTGCAATGACCGGATTGCTTGGAAGTGGTAATTGTGATGAACTGGTAGCGGAAACAGTCGGTATAAAGTGACAGCAGTGAAATCACACTGCGTTGAAGGATGCAGTACCGTTTAAAACCGTCTAAAACTGTTTTAGTTCGATGTGGTCACCTGGCCTGGCGCTTGTCACGTGGGCACGGAGAAGTCTGCCAAGAATTTAAATCATATAAAAAGATGAACAAGATAACATTAAAAGCGGTAAAATTAGGTCCTGAAAATCTGTTTAACCAGTGCATATCATGTCCATCAGACAAGTTTGGGTGTAACGGCCTATGCTGTCCCAGCGTTGATTTTACTGTTAATATAAATTTTTTTTTTCAATATCACAGGCACTGTCTTAAAGTACTGTGTTCGCCCTTTTGGTAAAAGTCGAACTAAAGGTTATACAGAAGCATAAATTGCAGCGGTCGTTGCTGTGCTGATTTAAGGGAAATGGCTGGCTGTTAGTGGTTGGTGATGGTGTACTTGAATGGCCGGGGTATCACGTACGTCTTGGCCTGGATGTTTAGAGGGAAAGAGGGACGGTGGAAGAAAATCCCCCAATAAAAAAGTGCGTCGATAATACCCCCTTTACACTGGACGGCGTCCTTTCTGCGTCCTTTCTGCGACCATGAAATTTGGCATCGCTGTGGTCTTAATAAGGAGGCACGAGCATTGATTTGGTTTCAGAATGAATGCTCAATGGTCGGCCAGTTGTCGGCACGTAAAGTATTATAATTCTTTAACTCTCAAATGGGGCCGAACTGCTGGACGCAGAAGGGACGCCGTCCAGTGTAAAGGGGGCTTAACCAAATAAATGGGCAGTTCTACAGATATTTTCCACACTTCCAACTGTTTTCAACCCAGCTGAACATCATTCATGCAAGACGTCTCGGGGTGATGACACCACCACCTCCACCATTTATCAGCAGTATCAGTGTCAAGTTCTATTACAACAATTAATGGAAAGGGGGCCCAGTGGGGGATACTCCACCAATGTCTAAGTGAATACTTTGAATGACTTTTTTGAATCGATAAAATCTAGGGTATTGACCGCGAAAAGGGTGGTTGGTTTATGTAAAATTTGATACAATTAGGAAATGTCTCTTCCTCTTATTACTTTTTGGATTTGAGCCGCCTTTCTCTTTAATTGATTGATGTTGAAAGTGCCGTTTTACTTTTTGACAATATGAAGACACAGAGACGTATAAGAATACTATAAGAATCACGGTAGAGGCATTTTGGAATAGAGGAACAGCCGATGAGAAATATATGTTTTGAATCAGTATTTCAGCAGCTATTCTAGTCGATCTATGCAAGTTATCAAGCTGCTAAAAAGCTTAACGCTTAAAAGCGTTTGCCCACAAAGGGGAAGTCAAATGGTTGTAAGTTCTGGGCAGCATACACATTTCTGATAAACGAGAATCTTTCGTTTTATCTCGCTCTTAAAATCGTGTTATAGACAACGGATCTACTCATGCTGGAAAAGCTGATGTTATTCGAAGCATTTTGATTTGACTTGAACTAAATGCTGCGTACTCCGTGCCTTGTGGGGAGCCTGTGGCAGAAAATCTATTACGCTGGAAGAGGCCAGAATTCAGTAAAGTGTCAGTGTGACACGAATGTTGCGCAACTTGTTAACACCTTTTCTACATAGTTTTTACATCGTGTCAACGCCTTGTTTAAATTTTGCCTCTATATATGGATGGTCAACCGATTCAGAATTTCATAAATCGTTTTAATTGCAATAGTCTTTAATTACGGCAAAGTAAACTATGTTTTCCACAAAATTTTGTATCTTTTGTTAATGTTCCAAAGAATATATGTTCTAACAATTTTCTCTCAATGCGTGGACATAGTTTATCAAATTAATACCTTTCAGAAAGCTTAGTGTTATACTAAAACTGACAAAGACACTAACATCAAAATTCTGACCTTACTGATAACGCCCGTGCATAACTTTTGTTGTGCTGAAAGAAACGACTGCCTGACCAAAGCGGACGTTCTGGTTCTGGAAAGCAAAACTGTGCTTTACCCAATATGTGCAATGTACACTGTTACCAATGACATTTTGCAATTGCTTTTGCGTTTCATTTATACAGTTTTGAGGTCGTTAATATCAAGGTATTTTCCAGGGACAGCAATGTCATCCACGAAAAAATTGATTAAAAAAATTTTTAGAGAGAAATCAAAACAGGAAATGAATAAGGTACTACTGTCAGTTTTTTTACCGATTTGATTTACGAAAACAAAAATTCTCTATCTTGGAAACGGACTTTAATGGCTTGTATTGATCTTGAAATATAAAGTGAAACAACTCGGCCTTTTGTTACATGATACACGTGAGCATAGCGAAACCTCCAATCGATAGTATCACCTTGTACCACGCCTCGACATCAGAACATTACCTTTAACTTGCTATTTAAGCTGACTTAACGCTACTCTTCTGATAACTGGAAATTGACATAAAACAAATAGGTTACACGATGCTCATTTCTGGTTACGTGTGCATTACTCAGGCGATGGAATTAAAAGACCGTACATTTGTATTTTACGTTTTGTGCCCCCCCATTGTTTTAATTAAAACTATAAAGTATTGAAATAACAATCTGCTGTGTTTAAAAGTCCACTATTGAGTCATGTTTTTTAAGTAGAGAGCAAACAGCACAATATAAGACACAAATTCTAATGATTTTTGTCAAAGCCAGGAAAGGGTATATTTTCTAACACTACAAAACACTTTGATGTAATATCAGTAACTGAAAACTTTATATTCTATCAAAATGCACTACACTTAAAAGAATCGAATTGTTAACTCCGATGGAGCTTGTTCGTGTGCGATCCAAGTAGGGCCTACTGTTTATGCATTCGGCGCTGAAATGAACAGCATCGATCCAAAACTGCATTAAGTATTTAAACAAACTGATCAAGCGGTAGTAAAAAGGTAGTGGTTTTTAACTTGTCTACAAACCTCCAAGCAGACAGACAGAGAGCGTTCATTGAGCGGTTTCGCTGTGAACTTTAAATCACCGGTTACTCTCTTTTGGACTTAGAACATGGAGCCAATACCCGAGCATAGCCAGTCGATATCCGAGGAACGCTGGGGTTGGTTATCGTTTTCTTCTTTAATGTGCTCATCAATGCGTCTTATGTCTACATCCACTTGTCTGTTTGTGTCTGTTTACGTGAGCGTGTCTGTATGTCAGCGGGATCGTTTCTGATAACTTAATTTTTCTTGAAAATTGTGGCGTTCAAAAGAGTATCACTTACGATAAATTCCGAATCTCAGTGGGTATAGAATTGATCAAGTGCCAAGTTTTCACTCGGTACTATAACTTAGCAACAGGTAGACAAGTTCATCTGTATCATTTAAAAATAACTTCAGTGTCCAATACTTGCTTCTGAGTGTATAACTTTCACCTTGGTTTGATTTGGCTCTTTTGAAAGGAAAAGAAACTTGGTAACGTATTAAACAAACGTCAAAAACATTAATGTTATGATTATATCGTATTACGTCAGTTATGGTTTTCTTGTTACTGTCTTCAAGCGTTCGGACAAGAGAACATCAGTGCATGAAAACAATGCTTGTTGTTAGATGTGTTATTTGAAAGCAGGTTGTTGGTAACGTTTTTTCGTCATGGTATCTTTGCAGGAAAGCAGACCACGGGACTCCTTAATCAAGCAAACAAACACAAAGGGAAATTTCTGACAGTTCCAGCATATGTAAGTACCGTGTAGTTAACGGTAGGGAGAGACAGATTGAACACACACTTAAGGAAGCATGAATTATTGGTTTTGCTGAACACTAATATGACGTACACCTCTCACGCTGAGTGGACTTTGCAATCACATTTGATTTTCCAACTTCAATTAACAACCATTTGAAAAAATGTGTGAAAAAATTACACCGTTTTTCATAGCTTATTTTGAAATAATGTCCAACAAAATTCAGTTACCAATGCAGACACATACTGTATACCTGTAAATGTACATGAACTCTATATGATACCTTTGCTCAGTCTTTTGCTCCCAAATATAATTAGGATAAGAAAAAGAATAATATGAATGACAGTGTTCTTTTCCTAAGGTTTCCCAAAGGAGCATTTAAATAATAATTACTGCTTACAAAGTCTTATTCGTCGAAGTAACCATTTACTATTTAAGGCTCACGATTTCATGATTAACTGCCAATCAATGCCTATAAAACGTAGATTGCTAAGATATCCTTTAGAGTCGATGTATCATAAAGCAATCAAAATAATATTTAGATGATGAGATTGTGCACCAACACCCTAGTCAACGCATACGATGTACGCAGTTTGATAAGATGACACGAATCTCTGGCCCGTGTGGCGCATAGCCCGTCTGATTGGGTCCTCTATTGATCAGACAGGTTACATCGATCACATATAGTACCGCCATGCAGTAATAGTTGCAGTGTACGGGGATGAAATATAGCCAGTGTCAAACTGCGCTCGTGTTGTCGTTTTTTCGTGCAGCCATTGTTTTTTTTTTTGATGGGACACAGATGGGGAGGGTTATAACTGCACAGTTGTACTCATATGCAAAATAACAAAGCGACTATTTCGAAAGCGAAAGACCAACACCAACATATTAGTTTACCTTGGTAGCATTCAACAGGCGTAACGTCAATCGTGAGCGTTACTGTACGGAGCCACAGATGCGCTCTGCACACTGCCTGCAGTGAGTGTGTTAGTGGAAGCGAAATTCTGCTGCCTTATATAATTACTAGTTTGAGTTTAGTATCGTGTCAGTAAAGGGACTGATTGTAATAAGAATGTATAATAAGTCACAGCTGAATAGTATGTTTGAATTATGTGAATGTTGTAGAATTAAATAAGACTTTCGATGCTGATTCACAAGTGGCGTTCAGAACCCAATTTTAGTGTGTTCATCTGAAGTAGGAAAATGCATGTCGGGGGCTTATGGCAAAATTTACTTGTAAAGTCTGCCAATATCCGTGCTTGTATCACAAAACACAGCTTCTATCCATGTCTGTTGGTGGAATCAGGGCCAATGTATGGACATGAAATGATGAGCGCCAGTTTTTCGTTTAAGTCGTATCATTTTTCTTATATCCACACATAATAGTAAGGTTCAGTTCTGATGCCAAATGTCAGAATTTAAGCATAATTAAGGTGGTCATGAATGCCGCTAATTGAGTTTGTTGATACCATCTGAGGCATTACGAACAATTGTACTAACACCGATGTGCCGGTAATACAGCCCGACTTTTGCTAAAGATCTAATTTGAAGGTTGATGTGCTTGATAAATCTCTTCAACAGATTTGGTCAAGATTCAACACAATGAAAATATGATAGAAGATATGGGTCATAAGGTAGACTTATATACATGTATTCTTTAAAAATCAAAAGAGGAATGTAACGTGGTTGAAGGGCATTGGATTTCAATATTTTGAGAATATAGCGAAGTAGAACAGTGTTTAGAAGTATAAGATAGTACGTTCTACTATGCAATATTAACCCTTTAACGATGAAATCCTATGGTATCACAGCTAACTGAGTCAGGCTTGACATTTAATCGTTTTGTGTAACGTACTTTAAGTAAATAGGACTACCTTTAAAAAATCCATGTTATCAAAAACACTATCATGTCGTTATAAATACAATGAAAATCTCAATAATAATAGTCAAATGAGAACAAAATATGCCGGACCATTGCAATTATAAGTTATATAGGCACTGGGAAATTTCCATAATATATTTTACACAATATTTTTGGAACGAAGTCAGCTTAGTTTAATCTATCCATGTTAATCAGCCCCCAGATGGGCCGTCAGTAGTGTCAGAGTTTAGCAGTCAGTATATCTGTTTATCGGGTTCATATATCACAATATTTTTATCTATAATATAGATTTATTATCGTATCTTCAAGATATGGACAGTCAATCCAGTGTTATTTATTCATGTTCCCTGGACAGTGGAAGAAGACCCTCCTGGCGGGCGTTATTGGTTTCGTTATGGATTCTGAGAACTACACTTAGTGCGTTTGCTTGCATCTCCTCGTTATAAACTACTGATTCCTATAGATCCCTTGGTGCCCCAATGCCATATCAATCACATTTTAGAGAGTGTCTTAAGAACTTATTGATGCTAGCATTGAGAGAGGCCCCGTGACTCGTCTCTGTACGTGCACCATGCCGGTATGTGTATATCCTGACGTCACAGGGTCAAGAGAAACACACAACGCGACGATATGTGACAATATCGGATATTTGGAAAGGAACCAGTATAGTGAAATTCATTCCAAAGAATGTCAAATGAAAGCGACAGGGAGTCCATGTCCAGTGGGTGTGTATACTGAGGGCCGTTTACATGTCGATCTAGCTCAACAGACAAGATAACGTCTTTGCTTTACAAAATGGTATATACACTTAAAGGTTAGGCAGTGGCGCATGCAGCGCTGTTACTTCACCGCTTTCACCACTCTCACCTGATGAATCCAACACACAGTGGTAAATAAACTCTTACTGAGACCCAAGGCAGACCGAGCGGGATGTCAGCTAGGGCGAGGATTGTTAAACGTCGAAGTTCGAGTGACACAGACGTCTCTAGAAGGATCACTTCTCCGTCTGATTTGAACCCAGGATTTCACGTGTCTAAGTCCTCACATGGGTTTGAGTTCAGCTCTCAGGGCGGGATGGGTGTTTCCTCCTCTCCTGGATTATCTCCAGTATCGCTAGGTTCGCTGATATTCCCTCCGTATTCACCCCGAACTTTACGAAGGCTCTCCACACTAGATGAAAACGAGTACGAAGCTGACCACAATGCTGATACGGTAAGGTGACTTGATTACTCTGCAAGGCTGGTATAAACACCTTTAAATAGATGGTATAAACAGCCTAAATTTAAAAAAATAAATAATATCGATCTTTTTTATATCGTTTCTTATATTTATCTTATGTATATTATTTCTTCGTGAAAACTTCATAGTTTGATGTAACATGTATGGGTTTGGAAATGTGACAGCTGTTAAGATGTGATCCCGTTAGTTGTAATGTGGAAGGTCATTTTCATGATGTGATAAGGAAACATACAATAGCGACAAACTGCGCTGAATACATGCGCTCTAGACGTAAGTTAAATAGAGATAAAGCTATAAACCTTCCATAAAATAATAATTATATATCAGTAGTGAAGGGAACCAATGAAATGCTGCCTTTATTTCTCATATAAAAGAGACCCTTGCGATTTTTTAGTCTATAAGGCGATTTAAGAATACCCGAGACAAATTAGGTCAATTTGCCTGTGTGGTCGCGTGCCAAAAGTTGGGATATGTAATTTATATATATATCAGATACATGCGGGCCTGACTTAATTTTTCTTATCATCCCAAATCATATATAACAAGGGTCATGTTCCTCATAGATTAACTGACCTGACGTGTTTTCCATTGATTTAACTTATTAACGAGTTGTTATCTAGCAAGTGGATAGTTATATCGGCATATGAGATGAATGGATGATTTATTTTAATTTTATTCTGTCATTAAAGTGTTTTCATTCTGAAGTACTCATCATCATCATCATCATCCTTCGCAGCATCAGCAGCGACATGTTCAGACCAGAGTGGTTTCTGTCTTACTATTCTAAGGATCGCATTTGGTTGCAATCCAGTATCATTCGTAGTGGTGACTGAGCAGGTTGCATCCTCTCTGTCCATGTTAGTTTTTCCACCAGTTGGTGTCCAAAATACTTGGAGACTGGTTTGGTCTAATGTGCGGGCACGGCGTCCAAGAAAATGCTTAGTTCCACTTGTCAAGAAGGGGGTGCATTGTACGTACTGCTTTGTTTTAATTGTACTGACTGGAGATTTTAGCTGGGCATGATGTAGAGCAACCTTTATCGTATGAGGATGATGTACACTTGTTCTCACTTTATATAAAACACCCACTATTTTTATTCAAACAATGGCTATTCAGTGTTTTTGCTGATATTTGCAGGCTTCGAAAGTATGTTTAATAGTTTTATGTTTTGTACTTGTAGCTCCTGTACCTGTTCCGAAATAATAAGAGAAGTCATCCTTAGGGTTGTACAGCAGACTAAAGGTGAACGCGTGGCTTCTGGATTAACATTTTAAGATTGATTCTGTTAATGTAGAATTTGGACAAAGGGATCTTGTGCTGATCTTAGCGATAATTCTTGCAGAGGCCGTATTCATCTGCAGGAGACATTATTATAATAATCATCTCAAAAATCCGATTTACAGACTAGTATTGGTAGACCACTCGACTCCTCAGCGAGCGGCCTGTCATGAATCTTGGGTGCATGTTTTGTTAATCGCTCATGGATATCGTGCTACACGTAAAACTGGATCAGTATTGTTAGTACGGGCAGCGTAAGTGAAGGTTTTCATAGAGCAATGATATACGCATAGTATGTGTACTAGTTTCAAACAATCAAAAGATAAGTGCGACAATATTTTTAAAGATTTGTTGTAGTAGCTCTATGTACATGTGAGGGGGTTGACACGAGCCATGTGATAAGAACATCAGTTGAGTAACCCTCGTTCTTGCCTATCATATGCCTGACGGCCATGCCGATGGGGATTTTGGTATTTTCAGGGGTGGTAGTTTTGATATAACAGTCCATTATTTCACCTGTTGTGTTGAATTGCCGGAGCTTAATCCGCGAGCTAGGGTGGTGTAATCTGTTTCGCACTTGAGTCATTGCGTCTTAGAA